TATATTTTATTGATTTTTTACAGAGAGGAAGGGAGAGGAATAGAGAGTTAGAAACATCGATGAGAGAGAAACATCGATCAGCTGCCTCCTGCACATTCCCTACTGGGGATGTGCCTGCAACCAAGGTACATGCCCTTGACTGGAATCGAACCTGGGACTCTTTAGTCCCTAGGCCAACGCTCTATCCAGTGAGCCAAACCAGCCAGGGCTTCCTGGTTTCTTTATCTGTGAAATTGAGACTAATGATACCTGCTCTGACTGTCTCTCCTAGGACTTTTGAAAATATCAAGTGTGAGAATCAATGTGAAAACACTTTGAAAATTGTAAAGGTCTCTACAAATGTAAGCAGTTATTAATGACTTTACAAAACCACCTTTGTAAGTGATTTAGATTCATGGAATCTGGAAGTTAGATTTAGAAGCTATCTAATCCAACTTCTTAGCTACTGAAAATAAACTCATTTTCATAATTTTTTAAAAATTTTTTTAATTGGCGAAACCGGTTTGGCTCAGTGGATAGAGCGTCGGCCTGGGGACTGAAAGGTCCCAGGTTCGATTCCGGTCAAGGGCATGTACCTGGGTTGCGGGCACATCCCCAGTGGGAGATGTGCAGGAGGCACATGTCAAACTCTGGGTGCACAGGAGGGCGCCCAACAAACTGAGCCACACCAGCCAGAGCCAAACCTTCGATTTGTTGGAGGGTGTGGGGCAATATCTGTGAGCCAAAATAGAGCAAAGTGCAATAAAACAAAGTATGTTTATCTGTGGATTTTCCCCTTTTGAAAACTCTTTATAAGACAATGATTTGCCCTTGCCACCTAGTGTTACTTCCTTGGCTCTGTTGGTTTTATGTTCAAGAAATGAAAGCTAATTCAAATATTATTGTAAACTAGATACAGTAGTCAGTCTCCTATTTAAGAGGCAGCTGATAGATGATTCTGTCTCATCGATGTTTGCACACATCAAAATTTAATACATATATAAGAGATTACGATGGTCATTTATGGATTGGTTCCTTCTAAAAAATACAGGGAGAGAGTGTTATCTGCAAGACTGCTGAGTGAATGTGTTCTTTGTACTTTCATCATTACAGCGTCTCAGTTATCCAGATGAAGTACAAGGCCTGGAGGTGGGAGTGTGCTCAGCTCCTTCGAGGACCTGCAAGGAGAACACTGTGGCTAGAAGTAGAGTCAGCAAAAGGGGCATGGGGGTTAGAAGATGAGGTCAGAGCCCTAGCCAGTTTGGCTCAATGGATAGAGTGTCGGTCTGTGAACCAAAGGGTCCTGGGTTCGATTCTGGTCAAGGGCACATACCTTGGTTGCAGGCCCTCCCCAGTCAAGGCTCGTGCAACCAATTGATGTGTTTCACATAGATGTTTCTCTCTGTCTTTCCTTCTCTCTTCCACTCTCCCTAAAAGTCAGTGGAAAAATATCCTCTGACGAGGATTAACCAAACCAAAAATTAAGAAGAGGAGGTCAGAGAGGTAGGAGTAACAGAGTATGGAAGGCCTTATGGGCCGTGTTAGGATTTTGTATTTTATTCTAAGTGAGATGGGAAGTTATTGGAGATTTTTGAGCTGATAAGATTTCCAATTAAAAAAATTAATTACTCTGGCTGCTGTGTGGAGAATAGATTGGGTTACAGGAGCAAGTGGGGGTGGGTGGACAGAGAGACCATGTAGAAGGCTATTGTAGTCCGGGCTACAGATGACGAGATGACAAATGAAATTATTACCTATCTCCAAGAAAGGTTGGGAGACCTAATTAAGAAAACATCACTTGAGTCCCTCATACAGCCCATTTCACAATATTAGTCTCCAGTATTTGTTAATTCCCTTCCTTTCCTTGGAGTTTGCGCTCAGCTATATTAGGACCATAGGGGACTGGTTATTAGGTAGAGATCAGCATTCACAAGGAATGGGATTCTGAGCAGTACCTCAGTCATTTGATCCCAACAGGAGACTTTATTCTTGGCACACTGTTCATTCTGTTATCCTACCTACCAGAGGCCTAAAAAGACTGAATCTGTGCCAGAACTCTTGGGCTGCTCTGTTCTCATTGAGGCATTCAATCTTCACTTCTTTCTGCAGTTGCTATCTTAGCCACAGTTTGAACAGCCTCTTTTACAAAGTATCTTTTCAGCTACCTGGACTTAAAGCTGGAGCTCTCTGATACTCATCATGACAGGGTAATTTCACATACCTGAGAGGGCCCTCTAAGAAAAAGAAAGAGGTTTTGTGATCTTTGTTTAACATTTGAGCTTTTCCTCCACTCGTATGATGTAAAGTCTTAATATGCCACCTTGACTTCTAGGTTTTGCAGTATGAGAAAAAAATTTCATGTGTTTTAGTACATTATACTTCTTTGGGAAAAGCTTGGTCCTTGGTGTACACAAGGTAACTTTCTTAGCATTGTGGACAAGGTTTCCTTCCCTACAAAAGTCCACCTCAATGTCTGCTTGCTTGAGCTGTGTATATCTTATTGGTAGACAGCACTGATGAAACAATGCTGCCATCTTGACATAATGTCAGGATTGCCTGTTCAAAGAGGGCTCTGGCCGCCTACTACTTCCTTAATTTCCTTGGGGTGCAGTACAGTTTGGGGTGGGGTCCAGGAGGTCTAATTGTGTCACAGGCAATAGGAAAGGTGAATCCCCAGAAACTGACAAACAGAATTTGCTTTAATAATAGTTAATTGTGTCTCCTAAGATGTTTTGCTTTTTCTTCCTTTTGAAAGTGAGTTCAGGTTACTGGAGTGTCACAGGTGAAAATTTGGGTGCTTTTGCAACTCATGTACTGTACTGCCTCTGGAAATGACTGACTGCCCTGGCTCCAAACCAACCCTGTAAATAGACTAAGTCAGGCCCTATGAGGACCAGCTGTCTTCAGGAACACTGTTCTGTTTTCAGGGAGAAATCATTTTCCCCTTCACCTCAGTTAGAATGTGCCCTAGCCTTGCTGCTCCCTTCTTAGCTGGGGCACAGATGAGAGCCAGCACGCCATTCATTTGGCAGCCCCGTGGGCCTTTCCAAAAGCCCATGATAGAGAGAGGCAACCTACAGGAAATGAAATGCTAAATGAGTGCATCTAGAGCTTATGAGCATAAAAGACCTTACTGATGCGCCTGTATTTTTCATTTAATTATGTGGATAGGTAGATTTTCTTTTCCCCACCCACTCATCTGTGCTGACTGAAATATTTTATGCTAAGTAATAGTTTGGAGCAAATTGTTGCTACAGATAAAAACATAGATATATTTTCAGCCAACATGCTACTAATTAAATTGCTTATCTATCTAAACTTGGGCCTGTGCTGCTCATATCAGATGTCCCTGGTATCTTCCTTGAGTGAGTTGCCTTGTGTTCCATGACCTTGTTTTTTTGTTCATTACAGTGTGAGTGACTGCCCCATGTTGTGTTGATGCCGGTCTGCCATGCTAGCCTGTCTACCAGGGCCAGGTGACCTGTCCTTTCAGCTTCTTTCTCACACGCAGATGAACACTGGACTTCAGAAATGTAAGTAATCTGGATCCCAGGGAAGGATGTGGTCCTTTATTTTGACCCTACATTTGAGCTGTTTCAGAGGGGTACATTGACTGTGGACTTTGATATCTTCAAGATATTCTTCAGTACAGACAAAAGAAAGCAATTGCAAAAACTTGTCAGCAGTGTGAGATATCTTTGATCAGAGAGATCCTCTAAAATACTAGAATTTCCCAGTGTATAGCATCTTAATTTTAATTGTTGCTGATATCTCTTTTGAGCACTATAAGGAGTTTTACAGGAGATATATAATCACCCTTTAAAAAAGTATCTCAAACTGAATCCCCATGAGGAATTAAATGAAAACGCACAGTTCAGATTACTTATTATATCTCTGAAACAAACTATTTACACTGTTCTGTTGTTTTGAACTCTCTGAGTACTTTCTACCATGGAAACAGACAATTTCCTTTGGCTTTGCTGTCTGCCTTCTGAGCCAGTGACCTCAGTTCACAGCAAGTAAAGAAGCTTCTGCCTTCAGAGGGATAAGGAGCTAGCTTTCTCAGTCTTTCTGGTATATTCCTTCTAATATACTTCCCACATGATTGAGCTTTTGAGAATTGTCTGTTAGATTTTTGTCTCAAACTGGCTGGAATTGGGGCTTTGTACTTCATGCTTTCCCAGATTACTACCTTCTGTCCTTGAACTGCATGAATGTTCAAGGAAATGATTCTATTCCTGGCTCATTACCATGTACAGTATCTTCAGGTGTCAAAATAGCCCTAAATTTGGAATAGACTTTTCTTTTAGAGCAAAAAGGGGAAATCAATGAAACACCTACGCTTCCCCTTTAATAGAAAAGGTGCTTCAGCATCTTATCTGATCCTTGATGATAGGCTTCTGTACAGGGCCAGATAGCAAATGTTTTAGGCTTTGTGGGCCATGGTCTCTGTGGCATCTACTCAGCTCTGCTATTGTAGGGCAAAGGCAGCTGTAGACGATATGTAAACAGTGCATGTGACTGTGTTCCAGTAAAACTTTTAATTAAAAACAGCAGCTGGATTTTGGCCCACAGACTGCAGTTTACTGACCCTGTTCTGTGAGATCATCTTCAGAAGTTAAAATAATCTAGCCTCTGACTTCCTTTCTTTGAGGGAGAGTAAGACTCAGAGCCTGGCTAGTTCTAGGATTTGGCCAATGAATCCAGCTTGTATAACGACAAAACTGAAGGTGACCGTCTTCCTTCTGCAATAGGCAAGCTCTGCTGTGCCAGCTTTCCCCCAGCCTTTCTTTTCATAAGTGATGACAGGTGATGAAGTTGTATTTGCTCCCTGGCCACCCCAATCTCCATGCTAACTGTATTGTGACTGGTTATGGGCTTCCAGAGGACACAACTGGAAAGGGAGTATACTTGGAAGTATACAGTAAGATGATAAAGAGCAGTTCACTGTCTTCTACATTCCTTGACTTACTTTGACAGCTTCACCTAGAGATGTGATGTCAAGGGATGAGGCATTTGGGAGGACAGGCAAATTGGCAGCTTTGTCTTGGGTGCTGACATTGAGATCTCGACTTTACTTTTTCCCCAAAGCAGCTCCTAAGTAGCCTCTGCCAACCACTGTCCCTCGTCTATATTTGAGAATTGAGATGTCCTTCTTTCCTGGTTTCAGACTCACCAGTCCATTTGGGGGACAGTGTATTTGAATTCCTTTGACTCTCTTGTTGTCATCCTTAACTAAATCCACACCTTTGCAGAGGAGAAATACTATTGGTATTTTTAAGCCTGCTTGCTTTCTTCTCTCCTCTCCCAAAAGGTATAAAAAAAAGAAAAATCTTGACTTATAGCTGTTAGTGTTAAACATTTACAGTTAAAGGTGAGCTAGAGCATAAGCTGTCTTCTTCAGGAACCAACAGCTAAAGAGCTGCTTAGAACTCAAGTTTACCAGTTATAGAAACTTTAAAACTAGTTTTGTGACTTGTAATTCAGTTTTTTTCCTGCACCCATTCTTAGAAGGGTCTTCTAAATTCCTAGAAACACAGAGCTTGGTATCTGGTGGGGTGGGGATGCGATACAGATGTTGATAGCTTACTTTGCTTTATGTTGTAAGAGTCAGCTCAAGGCAAGAGAATTGGATCAGGGGTCAGGAGTCGGGATATGTGGCTTCTTGGCCCATCACTATAAGGAGATTTACAGGAGATAGTGGATGGGAAAGATTTCTGAGACTCTCTGCCTTCCTCTCCTTCCTACCCCAGTTGTCACCATCACATTCATCATTTTAAGATGTTCATGAAATCTGTCATCTTACAGACATTTCCTTCATGGGTAGAATCACTTTTTCCCAGGCTTGAGTCACCATATGTATAGAGTCACAGGATTGATTCCTTCTAACTTCACATTTTCTCTTCTCCCCTTCCTGTTCGGTGTGTGGGAGAATGTGATGTGTTTCCCAGCCTAGATGTATAATTTGCCATAGGGCAGGCTGGATTAAAGAAATCTTGGTTTGATGTGGGTCCTGTACTTGGTAGAGGACCAGAGTTAGGGTTAGATGGATGCCTCCTAGAGCTTTTCTAGGTTATATATTTCATGATATATTTCATGATGTCACTTGCTTTGAGAGTCCTAGCCATTTTGGAATTCTGTACTTGGAAATTTGTTTTCCTCTGACCCATCTTCTCCTAATCCCCCAGAAAAATGTGTTTTTGAACATTTTTTCTTTATTAACTCCAAGCTCAGTTTATGGTCAGGTATATAGTAGTGGCTCAATAAATATTTTTGGATGAATGGCTGAAATTATCAAAAGACCTTGGTTTGAAAAAAAAAAAAAAAAAGACCTTGGTTTGGCTCAGTGGATAGAGCGTCAGCCTGTGGACTAAGGGTCCCAGGTTCGATTCTGGTCAAGGGCACATGCCTGGGTTGTGGGCTCGATCCCCAATGTGGGGTGTGCAGGAGGCAGCCAATCAATGATTCTCTTTCATCATTGATGTTTCTATCTCTCCCTCTCTCTTCCTCTCTAAAATCATTAAAAATATATATTTTTAAAAAGACCTTGGTTTTCAAATCATCTTTTAGATAATAACTTTGACCTATTTTATTGCAGAGTTTTGGAGCTGGAACAAATGTCAAAATTCTTTTACTGCTTCTTAGTATGTCTATCTGCCCCCTAGTGGGAGGGCCTGGAAATTGTTAATTGGCCCAAATGATTGAATAAACTCATAGAAATATCAGCAATATTAACTAGCATCTGTTCATCTGTTGAGTTGCTAACCATGTGCCAGGCACTATCTTGAGTTTTTTATTTTTATTTTTTTTACTTTTTCCATCACCATTTATCTCCTCTATGCCCTCTTCCAACTCCACTCACTCCCTTCCTTCCTACAATCACCACACTGTTGAGCATTTTAAAAATATATATACATTTTTTGAATACTTTTTATTGATTTCAGAGAGGAAGGGAGAGGGAGAGAGAGAGAGAATCATTGATCAACTGCCTCCTACACACCCCCTACTGGGGATCGAGCCCGCAACCCAGGCATGTGCCCTTGACCAGAATCGAACCAGAGACCCTTCAGTCCGCAAGCTGACGCTCTATCCACAGAGCCAAACCGGCTAGGGCCTGTTGAGTATTTTTATATATGTTATTATTCATTCCTCAATAATTCCGTATGGGAGACACTCTTATCTTTCTTTTAAGGATGAGGCACAGAGTGTTTGCCACTTGCCAACATCACATTACAGTTCAGTGACTGGGCTAGAACTCACCCTTGGTTCAGATTCCAAAGCTTGCGTTAGAAACACACTGCTTGTGCCTCTCCACCTATAGATAGAGGTTTCTGCTGTATATGCCACCCATGCATCTGACCTTCAAAATAGAAGGATACATAGGGAGGTCCCTGTGGGGAATCCTGTATTCAAGCAGATTTCCCCCTAGTCCCAAGAATAGACAAAAGTCCTTTTGGCCACATTTAACTCTCCAGACTCAAGTCCAGGGTGTCCTGCAGTTGGAGCTTCCTTTGTCAGGGTACTTTGTCCTATCTTTGGACAGACTTAGCCAAAACTGATATCCTTGAATAATAAATATCGACAGTCATTGTTCCTGTCCACAGACTATTTTTCCATTCATTGGATCTCTTGATCTTAGTAATCCTGTGAAGCAGGACAGTAGATATCATACCTGTTTGTTATAAATGAGGAATGACTGAGACTGGGTAGTTAGATAATAAAGTCAGTACTTGAATCTGGATCTCTCTTTTCTTCTAACAACATATTCCCTATTCTTTATACTGCCTCATGTCTTGATTAATGACTCAGTTGGTATTTGATATTTAAGTAATTTGCTTACAAAGCTGTGGTATCTATGTGTTAGCTGAGCACTTAAGATGTTATAGAAGAAAGAGAGACTCTAGGATGCCTGTGTGTGAGGGCTGAGATAAAAAGTACTGAGAGCTGGCTGGAGTGGCTCAGTGTTTGGGTGTCAACATATGAACCAGGAAGTGATGATTCGATTCCCAGTCAGGGCATATGCCTGGGTTGTGGGCTCAGTCCCCAGTGTGGGGTGTGCAGGAGGCAGCCAGTCAATGATTCTCTCTCATCATTGATGTTTCTTTCTCTCCCTGTCCCTTTCTCTCTGAAATCAATAAAAATATATATTTTTTAAAAGTATTTTGAAGAATTTGACCTTTTTTAAAGGGTTGGGCTTAAATCTGATATGTGAAGTGGTTGGTACTGAATTCCCAGAACATGGCCTCTTGTCCAATATACTAATCTCATCCTTGAGATTCTTCCTTAATAAAAATACTGTAGCCTGTGTCTACCTCCCCTCTCATCCATTACTTCCCTTTGATTCTTGTCCCTTTATTTGACTACCCCCATTACTGCTGTCAACATCAGTGGAGGCAGAACAAGAAGAACTAACTAGCCTTGGCCTGTGGGGGGAAAAAAAAATCAATGTCAGTGTCATACTCCTGAATGTGTCCCTTCTGCCTCTGTTAGAAAAAAAACAACCTGAGAGTTGGTACTGACTTGAAAAAAAAGGAACTCTATTGATCTCTGGTCAGGGTACATACAAGAATCAACCAATGAATGCATGAATAAGTGGAACAAATCCATGGCTTGTGCCCTCTCTCTTCATCTTCTTCTTCCTTCTTTCTTATCCCTCCCTCCCCTCCTTCTCCCACCCCACCTTCCTTTCTCGCTCTCTCTCTTTCTCAAAATAAATAAATAAATAAAATTTAGAAAGGAACTCTGTTATTCAGCAAGCCCAACTGTCTTCCTCTCTCTTGGCCTTCAAGGAGAAAAGCCCACTAACATGGAGGAGAGCCCAGGGGCAGACCGTTATTTCTTGTCTGAACTAAAACTCAGTAGCTTCAAACTCCCATTCCTCAGCCCAGTTCAGTTGTTCAGTCAGGCAGTCCCTATACTGATGGCACTTAACAGGTATTTGCTACGTATCTGCTCTAGGTAAGACACTGAGCTAGGAGTGTTACATGATTTTGACCAGTCAAACAGATACCTAAGGCCAGTGGCTGACCAGGTCAGTTTCTAATGGAATTCTGATACCTTGAGTTTAGGAACTATGTCTCAGTGATTCTAGGCTTTTTTTTATATCTTATTGTCAAGGAGAATGTAAGAAGGGTCAGAAAAGGGCTCCACTTTGTGGAGACTGAAGCCCATTAACCCTTTGTACACTGTAAGTGTCTATAGATGCAATTAAATTCAAAATATCACAGCGTGTGGGGATGGTTTCCGTTTTGGATGTGTGGCAGTTAAGGGACAGTGGCCTACAAAAAGCAGAACTCAAACTCTGCTCTCAGAGCTTTGACCCTCCTCAGCAGCTAGTGGATGGGAAAAATTTCTGAGACTCTGCCTTCCTCTCCTTCCTACCCGTTGTCACCATCACATTCATCATTTTAAGATGTTCATGAAATCTGTCATCTTATAGACATTTCCTTTATGGGTAGAGCATTTATTCTGTAAATAAAGCAGACCCGCCCTAACCAGTTTGGCTCAATGTATAGAGCGTCATCCTGCGGACTCAAGGGTCCCAGGTTCGATTCCGGTCAAGGGCATGTACCTTGGTTGCGGGCACATACCCAGTAGGGAGTGTGCAGGAGGCAGCTGATCGATGTTTCTAACTCTCTATCCCTCTCCCTTCCTCTCTGTAAAAAAATCAATAAAATATATTTTAAAAAATAATAAAGCAGACCCTTAAGTATGTTTGCCTATCTACTAAGTTCAAGGCATTGTTCCAGTATTTGAAAGCATTAAGCCTTTTCCTTTCTGTACTCTTTTTGCTAAGTTCTACCTTCTTGAGTGTGGACCTGAATTCTCTGCCTATCCTAGACTTGAGCTTTCTTTTCCTGCTTCCAAGAGCAGCAGTTTCTGAGCAGTTGCTGCCAACTAACCAGCAGTGTCACCAAAGGATGGCAGCTGGGCCCTCTTTAGCACACTCACTAGCCTACTTCTCTTCCAGTTGATGCCCAGTGACATGATTTTCAAATAAGGTCTCCTTGAGCCAGGCCAGCTGAAGTCACAAGTTCAGCATTCAGTCAGCTTAGTCCCTGCTCTGTATGGCTGCCTTCTGCAAGGGAGGAAGTAGGGAGGGAATCTGCTAGCTGAGCCTAGGTTCCCAGCCAAGCCCCCTTCCTTCTGCTTTGGGCAGTTTGTGTACTTAGTCACTCAGCAAGCCTTTATTAAGCACCTTCTGTGTAAACTCAGGGGAGACCCTCCCTCAGAGAGAGGGATAACAGAGCAGAGACCCCTTGCAGGAGCCTGGCATCCTGAAAGAGCTCTTGTTCTCAGAACCTTTTCCTTTTTGACTGGAAACACAACATCCGCTGGAGCCCCCTGATGGGAGGCAACTGGAGATGGGAACAAAGAGACTGTTAACATTAATGAGGCACATTGAGTGGGTATTTCCGCCGTCTCCAAAGGAAGTCACATTTTTCCTCTTTCATTTTGGAAAGTGACAGCTGACAAGGGCCAAATACAGACTATTTTTGGCTCTCAGGACTTAAAGATTCTCTGAATCCTTTCTTCTCAAATTCCCTCTCTGCTGCCCTGTCATTATTGTCACCTCCCTCAAGGAAATAAAGCCTTTTGATCTTTACCCAGTCAGACTGAGAGTAAGCTGTAAACAAAAGTGAACTTGTGACATGGGATGGGGAGGGATGTTGGCAGCTTATTCCTCTGTTCCTAAAAAAGAAGCATCCTGTCTACTGTGCCAGGATGCCCACCCAATGGGCATGATGCCCCAGCTGCCAATGCTAAGGAGAAAGCTGATGCCTTACTGGCCACTGCAGATGGAAGAGTAGTCACTCTGGCTGCCCTTTTTACCACGATGTCCTAGGGAAAGGGACTGAGGGCTCTCACAAGCAGCTCTGCTTAGAATCAGCAATACCCAGGCCAGCATGGGCTGGTAGGAACTTGGAGAGAGTTCCATGTAGAAGAACAACTCTGAGAACTGGCCAGCTTCTGTCTCTGCCAGATTCTGGACTTTTGAAAGTTGCTCTGCTATTTCTGTCTTTAGTGATGTCATTTGTAAAACAAGCATCATAATAGTACCTGCTTCCTAAAGCAGTAGCAAGTATTCGTTGAGATAGCCTGTCACATAGCATAAGGCCTGGCCCATTAAAGTACTGATGGGGCCTGAGGCTGGGTCAGACGCTGAAGGCTAGGGAGACAACTTAGTTAGTCCCTCACCTCCCCCACCTTTTACACCCTCAAAAGGGAAATCTAGAAGGCTGGTTGGCTTGGCACTGATGAGCTCCCTCTCCTTCTTTGCTCTCCTTCCCCTTCTCTCTCTCTAGGGGACACTACACAGAAAATGAGAACTGCTCACTATCCTACCCCAGCCGAATTGGACGCGTATGCTAAGAAGGTCGCAAACAACCCACTGACTATAAAAATCTTCCCCAACAGTGTGAAGGTTCCCCAGCGGAAACACGTTCGTCGTACTGTGAACGGCCTCGACACATCAGCCCAGCGCTACAGCCCCTACCCGACTCAGGCTGCCACCAAGGCAGGCCTGCTTGCCATTGTCAAAGTGCCAGCCAAAAGCATACTCAAGGACTTTGACGGCACCCGTGCCCGGTTGCTCCCTGAGGCCATCATGAACCCCCCAGTGGTGCCCTATGCTACTGTGGCACCCAGCACTTTAGCCCACCCCCAGGCCCAGGCTCTGGCCCGCCAGCAGGCCCTGCAGCATGCACAGACCCTGGCCCACGCCCCTCCCCAGACGCTGCAGCACCCTCAGGGTATCCCGCCACCACAGGCGCTGCCCCATCCTCAGAGCCTCCAGCAGCCTCAGGGCCTGGGCCACCCTCAGCCCATGGCCCAAACCCAGGGCTTGGTCCACCCTCAGGGTCTGTCTCACCAAGGTCTCCAGCATCCCCCCAGTTCCTTGTTGCATGGAGGCCGGAAGATGCCAGACTCAGATGCCCCCCCGAATGTGACCGTGTCTACCTCAACTATCCCCCTCTCAATGGCGGCCACCCTGCAGCACAGCCAGCCCCCGGACCTGAGCAGCATTGTGCACCAGATCAACCAGTTTTGCCAGACGAGGGCAGGCATCAGCACTACCTCAGTGTGTGAGGGCCAGATCGCCAACCCCAGCCCCATTAGTCGCAGTCTGCTCATCAATGCAAGCACCCGGGTGTCGACCCACAGCATCCCCACACCAATGCCTTCATGTGTGGTCAATCCCATGGAGCACACCCACGCGGCCACAGCCGCATTGCCTGCGGCAGGCCCTGTCAACCTGCCCACGGGCATCTCTCGAGCCCCCACTGGCTATCCTAATGACCTCAAGCCAGTTGCCTGGAACCAGCATCAGCTGGCCCACCTACAACAGATGTGCAGTGAGGCTGGTGGGACACCAGCCCCTGGTCTGACAGGCAAGCATGCGACAGGACGTGAGTTGGCAGGGCCTGGCTTTGTGGGCAAGGCCCCTGCCTACCCGCAGGAACTCTGCCTGGCACAGTCCTTCCATTTGAAGCCACCCATGGAGAAGCCAACCCCATCCCCTCCAGTCAACGGCCTAGCAGCCCCACTGGCCTACCCCAATGGTCACTACTTCCAACCCCTGTGGAACAACATTCTGCCCACTCCCAATAGCGACAGCTCGGGGTCTCAGGACCTCACCATGCCGTTCCACGGTGGGCAGCCCACGGGTGCACCCCTCGACTGTGCGGCGGCTGCTGGGGCCCACTACCGAGCAGGGACCGGGGCCGGTCCAGTGGCAAGCCAGAACAGCTTGATGCAAACAGTGGATTACCTAAGTGGGGATTTCCAGCAGGCCTGCTTCCGAGAACAGAGTCTGGCCATGCTAAGCAAGGCTCATCGAGCCCCTGGCAGCCGAGCCCCTGATCCCACAGATAGTCGAAGTCTTCATATTCAGCACCCTGGATATAGATAGGTAGTCCCGGTGCCCTCCACAAGCTATACATCATACACCCCCTCCTAGGTTTAGTCTTACTTTTGAGTAATTGGATAGTTTCAAATTTTTACTGCTCCAATGTGATCATTCTTAGGTTTCTAAGAAGGGAATTTAGTGGGATCTAATTGAGGACGGGGGGGATTCTCTGTGCCCTCATTCTCTCCCGTCCACCAGCCCTCGCAGTTTTTGGATTTATGTTAGGACCTAATCCCAGTCCCAGGCTTTTTTCTTCACTGCCTGCCTGTCAGTCAGTCCTATGCCATGTCCATCTCCCTCCCCCCCTTGCATTTCCCACCAGCCACCTCCTGTCTTTTCCTGCTCTGCCTATTTACCTTAGGACTGAGTGAGCTAAGGGCCCGAGGTGAGGCAGCGATAGGTGCCCAGCCCCCTAAGCTAGGCCTCTCCCTGTTTGTCTGTCTCTCTTTCTCTAGGACTAAAAAGCCAGGCTTCCCAAGTGCTCTGGAAGCTAATTCCTTATTCACCCCAAAGACCTCAAATCAAAACTGACCAGTCCTCATCTCTTCTCAGCCTCTCTCCATTCCTCAAGGCTTTTATGTCTACATTGATCCCAGAGCCACTGAACTTACCCTTCCATACTTCTCAAGGGCATCCTGCAGGCACTTGGCCATAGCCTTGAGACATGGGGAAAAAATGTGTCTTTGTGTTGGTACCTTGGTTCCTGATTCCCCTTTCCAGCCCTAGAGAAATGCAGTGACCATCCAGCATATCTAAGATCCTTTTCTCACTGTTGCCTCTCCTCACTCATCTGCTACCCTCATTCCCCACCCCCAGCCAAAAAACAAGTAAAACAAAAAAACTGATCTTACTTGAGGAATTAGGTAGGTAAGGGATGATCACATTGGAGTTTGGAATTAAAAACACCAAAAAAAAAAAAAAGGCTTTTTGGTTCTCTACACTGGCTAAGAATATTGCTCTACACTGTAAGTTTTAAATGTCATGTTTCTGTATGAATGTAGTGTGGATTTGAGTAGCATTGTGTGCGAGTGGCCCCACAGGTACATTTACCTTCTAGACACCTCCTTTCGCAGCCCCTCAGTTTGATGAAGAAAGTAAGAAAAACACAAAGCCTTAAGCTCTTTGAATTCTTCCTTTACCAAATGAGCATGGTTCTAACAGCTGAAGATGGGCGTACATTGGTAACAGCCCTTCTCGCCCCTTGCCCATTTTTCACTCATACCCACTCCATGCTCAACACATCTAATTCCCAAGAGATAATTAGTTGGCTAGAAATTTAAACTTTTCTGTAACTTGACATTTAGATTATGTTTTGTTGTGAATTTTTTTGCACCCTCCTGTTAAAGATGCATAGTTGGGCTCTGCCTTTTTTTTTTCTTAACCAAATAAGCCCTTTTTCCTCTCTTCTCTGGGGAATGTGAGCTGATGGTCTTATTTAAAATTTGAGGTTTTGTTTACTATCCACTGTTCTTTAGCCAGAATTCTCTAGTGATCTGAATCAATGTGACTGAAGACCAGTTTTTAAATTATGTGTTGGCAAGTTGCCTTATATTTAAAAATAGGAAAAAAAAAAAAGCCTGATTGTGTTATGCCAAATGATAGCAACATGAAGTCCTAATTTATTGTTCCTGATTGTTTTCCTGACGTCTGTGAACACTGGTACCTCCCTGTCCCTGAGCCCCCAGGAGCACCTGTTGCTTCTGGTGCAATGCCTTCTCCCAAGGTGTTGGCCACCATCTCACCCAAGGCCCCCTTCCAGTTCTTCCTTCTCTGAGTTAAATTGAAAGAGCACTACTGTCTCTCCTTAACCCTTGCTTGAGCTCCAAACCAGATATTTTTGCTGTGATTTTTTTTTCTAATGCCTCTCCCCAAAAGGTGAGCTGCCATTTTAGGAAATTGGACCAGACACCAACTTGGGGGCTTTATATCAAACCTCAAACCCATCTCTTCCTGTGTGGGGGTGCAAATCTCTGAAGCTCTCACTCCCACCCCTAATCTGCATGGAAAATGTACTGTGACCCCACCTTCGCCCCCAACTGCCCTTGCCTTTGGTGTGAGATGTTTCCTAGTTCACCCTGAGCTCCTCACCCCTCTGCCAGCCAACCCCCAGCCAGCAATAAGAGGCCAAACCAGGGCCTCCTATCTATAATCCCTGCCTCCATCCCACACTGCCCCTAGGGAACACTCGGTTTCCCTGAGCTGTCCACATACTGTAGCATTCACTCTCCATCTCTCATCTTCTCACCTGTGGTGGTTTATGGGTGTGATGGGGTTTTTAAGATTATTATAAACCAGTAAAAAGAAAAAAGTCACCTTTCAATCTTGTCCTATTTGTTTATAGTGGTTTCTAACGTCTCATTTACTAGAAGGGAAGTAATTTCTCATTTTTAAGAGGGGAACCCCTGTTCATCCGATTCAGAAGCCCCCCCAATCCATTATTGCAGACCAGGTATTGGGATTGTAAGGAATGAAATTTGGTCAATCCCCAGGAGGTACCCAGGACCTCTCCCTAGGCAGGACTGCTAGGGCCTTGGTGGGTTAGTATGTCTTCCGTGGAGGTCTGAAGTATACTGCCACTTTCACTCCAAGGATCATAAGTCACTGAAAAATGGGTAATTTGCTAATAAGCTACCTAAACGTCCCTCCCTCCACTTCTCCCACCTCCAACAGGGATTCTGAGGGCCTCTGTCAGAGGTGGAGGTAGTAAGTGCTATAATCTGTAAAATGAAAAGTAACTCTTGGTGAATCTTAAGGGTTTAGTATTGCAGAACTTTCCCCTTTTTTGTCTGCAGAGGGGGAAAAAATCTAAGAGAGCTACATACAGCCCTAGTTGGTTTGGCTTGATGGATAGAGCGTCGGCCTGTGGACTGAAGGGTTCCGGGTTCAGTTCCGGTCAAGGGTACATGCCTGGGTTGTGGGCTTGATCCCCAGTAGGGAGCGTGCAGGGGCAGCTGATCAATGATTCTATCTCCCTCTCCCTCTCTGAAATCAATATATATATAGATATAGATATATGAAAACAAAAGAGCTACTCACAGTTGAACAATGGGGGTAGAGAAGTTAGAGGTGCATCTAACTACCCCCATTCCTGCATAGTCTAAAATGACTCTAGCCCTAGCCAGTTTGGTTCAGTGGATAGAGCGTCAGCCTGCAGACTAAAGGGTCCCAGGTTCAATTCCAGTCAAGGGCACATGCCCGGGTTGCAGACTTGATCCCCAGTAGGGGGTGTGTAGGAGGCAGCCTATCAGTGATTCTCATTGATGTTTTTGTCTCTCCCTCTCTGAAGTCAATATATATATGCGCCTAAGTGACTGGACAACCGGCAGGTAGCTATGATGTGCATTGACCACCAGGGGGCAAACGCTTAATGCAGGAGCTGCCCCCTGGTGGTCAGTGCACTCCCATAGCCAACCTCCCACGGTCCCTCCCCCAGCTGGCTGGCCCCAATTGGCCCTGGTCACCAGCCAGGCAGAGGGACCCCACCCATGCACAAATTTGTGCACTGGGCCTCTAGTGTTAAATAAAAATAAAATGACTCCAAAAACTTTACTAATAACCTGTTGACAGGAAGCCTTACCAGTAACAGCCGATTACACATATTTTGTATGTTACATGTAGTATATGCTCTATTAAAGTAAGCAAGAGGGAAAATGTTTAAAAACAAAGCAATATATTTACAGTATTTATTGGGAAAAAAATCCATGTATAAGTGGACTCGTGCAGTTCAAACTCCTGTTGTTCAAAGGTCAACTAGATTCCCTGGTCCCCCTTTCAGTTGGTTGAACATCATCCTGTGCACTGAAGAAGGGTTACCAGGGCATACCTGAGTTGTGGGTTTGATCCCCAGTTGGGACACATACAGAAGGCAACAAATCGATTTTCCTCTCTCACATTGATGTTTCTTTCCCTAAGTATGTCCTTGGGTGAGGATTAAAAAACAATTAAAACAAAACAAAACCCTGACCTGAGTTCCACAAGGCAACTGTGACTGCCTGTGACACCACTGAAATGAGGGCTAGGCCTGAGTATGGAGTTGACTGCAATACACTATTGTTGCACACAACTCTAGAGAGCACGTTCCCTGGAATGGTACAGTGGCATTCTTCCCAGAAGACTGCCCAAGCTTGATCCATTGTATCTGACTGCTCTTGGAAAGATGGTTCCATCTGTTGCCTGAAGCAAATGCTTAAGACATTTCTTCTGCTAGAGCAGCGGTTGCCATCGGTGGTCCGTGTGGTCCGAAAGGTTGGTGACCGCTGGTTTAAGGAAACGAGTTAGAGCACATGTTGTCCCTACTAGCTTCCAGAAGTCATTGTCCCAGGGTGGTTTTATCTGATGAAGAGGTCACCTTTATTAGAAAGGCAGCCAGGGCCCGTCTCTCCCTAGATAAGTGAATTTGACCTTTTGAAGGCTAAGCTGGTGGTTAGTTTCTCAGGCTGAACTACAGCCGTTGAACCTTCCCTCTACTAGATAAGTTTCCATCATTGGGCCTCTTCTCAGGGCCAGCCAAGAGGAAGGCACTTAATGCTGATTGGATCATCTTTACAGTAAATCTAGGTGAGCAGGATTACTCTCATTTTACCAGGAGAGCAAAATGCCTCTCCATATAGCTAAGTAACTTGCCAAAAAGGAAGCAAGGCAAGGATCCAAATCTAACTATTGGCAAAATTATAAGGAAGCTATACATCTAGGAATTGCTGGAGCTTGAAACAGAATCCAGGCTCTGCCCCAAACCGGCTCAAGTCAATACACTTTTCTGTTCCTATTTCATCTGTTAAATGTGGATAATCATAGGCACCCACCGAGGTGTATATGAAAAGCAAATGAGTATGGATGAGAAAATCCAAGCACTGTGTACACCTCAAAGGCCCCTTTGCTCAGCTTAGTCTCTGGATGTGGGCTGGGCTTTGGAGTTAACATTCATCAAGCACTTATTTTGTGCTAGGAACATGCTTTATCTCTCTCATTAAATCTTCAATACAGCCTACTAAAATAGGTTATATTATGTTGATAAAAACTATATTTCACTTGATGGTTGTATTAAATAAAATAATGCATGTACAGTGTCTGCCACATGAAAGTAATCACCACCAGAGGGCAGCAGCAGGCATCTCTTCCACACAAAGCCTGGTGCACTTCCCCTGTCGTCCACCAGAGGGCGACCCGTCAGGGCAGCTGATCCTGGGGGCAAAGGAGCAGCCAGTCTGACTGGTCTTTGCTTTCAGTTGGGCCCAGCCTTCCAGGGCCCTAATCAACCCAGATGAGTCAGACTGGAACCAAATTAATAAATACAATTCAAGATTTATTAAAAACCAGGGCTCCCTGCTGTGCCCTCCTGGCACTAAGTAAATAAATAACCAGAAGACACAGAGGGAAGAGAAATCAGATCTCAAGACAGATTCTTTAACTACCCAACTCTCCCTCCCCCCTATGGCTCTTGGGACATAGCACCAGCAGGCACCTCAGTCCAGGTAGAATGTGGCCGGCACCAAGGCATGTCTGCCCTGCCCAGGAGAGGAGACAAGCCCTAGGATCACTTGTTTCCAAGCCCTTCATGACCCCAAGACCTGCTCGGCCAGGGCTGAAGCACCAATAGGAGGCACCTGAGGGTGGTAAGGAAGGGGGGAGGGGAAATAGGGTAACAGAACCGAGGCTGCAGAGCAGCTGAAAGGGGGTCCTGCCCCCTCTCCAGGTTCAGCCAGTGCCTGACAGAGGTCATGTTCCCCCCCACCACCTTTGTCCTGGAGCCCTGCCTGTGCTCAGCTGAGGATCTTTCGTGGCAATTCAACTGAGGCACGGATGAAGACTGCATCATCCCGCACATAGTTTCGCTTGCGGATATCCTGGTGGGAGATGAATTTGGGGTAACCAAAACCCAAAGAACTCTCATCCAGGGAGCCCCGCCAAGTGCCTGGTTTTTGGAAATTCTTCCAGTTTGGGTCAGGGTGAAAGGTCTCAGTGACATGCTGTGGCTTAGCCAGCCCAGGGTCGCTCTGATCCAGCAGGGAGAAGGTGACGCGGCGGGCAAAGGGCCACTCAAGGAGATTGTCAAAGGCACCTGGCAGCACTCGAATGTACAGCGAGAGATGTGTGCCTTCACCACTGCCATTGCCATTGAGGAATGCAGACACCTGCAGCTTGTAGCCATACTTATGTGTGTAGAAGGCTGGGCTGAAGCACTCAAGGTTGGGCTTGGCTTTGGCCTCCTGTAGCCGGCGCCCATAGCTGCCAATCTTCCAGATGAGCACACCATCACTGCCCACCGACAGCTCCTCCAGCTCTCGCCGCAGCTCCTGAAGCTCCTGCCGCTGACGGCTCACCAGGGCACACATCATGGCCAGATGGGGCTTCACACTCTCCTCCACATGCCGCGCCATTGCCAGCTTAGGGCACTGTTGGCAAAGCCCCAGGCCATGGGGGAAGGGAGGAGAGTTATCAGTATGGGCAGGCCCAGGGTAGAGGGGAGGAATGGGTACAGGGTGGCAGGCACTCCGTTTTGATTAAGGTTGAGGGCACTAGGAGGATGAAGCTGGCCAGCAGGGGGAAGGACTGAAAGCTTCAGAGCAGCAGAGCAGGGACCCCCAAGGGGCTCAGGCCCTAGTCCAGCCGTGGGCAAACTACGGCCCTTGGGCCGGATCCGGCCCGTTTGAAATGAATAAAACTAAAAAAAAAAAAAGACCGTACCCTTTTATGTAATGATGTTTACTTTGAATTTATATTAGTTCACACAAACACTCCATCCATGCTTTTGTTCCGGCCCTCCGGTCCAGTTTAAGAACCCATTGTGGCCCTCGAGTCAAAAAGTTTGCCCACCCCTGCCCTAGTCTATGCCAGGCTTCAAGGATCAAGAAGGGGACTGACAGGAGGGAGGGGCATCTCACCCTGTGCTTGCAGCCAGAGTCTTTGAATGGACACAGCACCAGGGCAGTGCTACAGCTGTCCTTCAGGTGGCCTGGCAGGTCCTCCCGAGCCACGGTGCCCACGCCACACTGGTTGGGGCAGGGCACAGGCAACCTCGGGCACTGGTACTGGTGGCTCTAGGGTGGCAGAGACAGTGGTCAGTAGCCTGACTCCCTGCTACCTGCCCCACAGCCCAGTTCAGAAAGGGCCTCACCTGGATGGTGTCAAAGACGAACTCCTTGGTACAGTAGGTGCAAGGCTGGGTGCGCTTGGGGCACTCAGAGGTGGCATGCTGGGCCAGCAGCCGCCGCATCATGCGGGCACCACACTTGTTCTCACAGTACACACTCTCTTGGGGACACACGCCCTCGTGGCTCTGTGGAAATGTCAGAGGGGCTGAGTTAAGGGATCCCCGGGCTA